CCACTGTCTTGTTTCAGTATGGGGAAGAAGTGCCGTGGCCCATCAGCCATGTATGGCGCTGGTGGAGCTGGCTTCCTAGGCTTCTAAATGACATCTTGCTATTTGTACATAATCCCCTCTAATCTTTATCTCATAAAATGTGACAGAACATTAAGCTATCAATCAGTACAATCTAATGTGTAAAAAACAACTATATTAAGAACAACAATCATTTTAATTTTGATAATAACAGATCAGTTGAAGAAGAAAGGAGTTTTAAAAATAAATATAAACCTACAAATAAGAATTTCTGAATAGAAAATGTCTTAGGTTAATTTATGATTTAAAATTGGCTAACTTGTATCATTTTCCCTCTTGGGAGAGCAGCATGCTTATTTAGAAATTTAACAACTACTAAAAACTGAAAATGAATTTCAAATAATATCATTGTCAGTATCTCTATTAGTTGACCTAACTTGTGCTTTGGAAGGCAGTGGAAGAAAAATAAAATATCTGACATGGACAATAATATCCTCTAAATGCCTAGAAACTTGAAATAAATGATTGTCACAAAAAGTTTACAATTGTTTCTATCTCTGTTTGCACATGGCTTTACAATGTGACATTGTGTTCTTGCCATCCAGATAGAACCTTTTCCCCAGCCCTGGAGTCTGGTCTGGTTTTGGCTTGGCCAACAGGGCACAGGAACAGCTATGGTGTGCCAATTCAGAGTCTCTTAAATACCACCATGTGAATACCACCCAGCCAGTCTGCAGAGGGATGTGGAGCAGAGCTAAGCCAGCCCAGCTGGAATCATCTTGGACCAGTTACGCACTGACCCAGAGCTGCCCACAAGTCCCTCCACTGACCCAATCCAAACAGCTGATTCCTGAGCAAATGCACAAAACAGTGATTGTTTTCAGATGTAATAATTTGACAGTGTTTCCTAAGTATCAAATCTAACCATCTCAGTACATAAGAAAGAGAACCACATTGGCATTTGTTGCTTAGCTACCTGTCTTTTGACAGAAGACTCCCTAGTACGTGTCGTTGCCTCAACTCATTTTACAGTCTTCTTTGTAGAATTTCATCTGTCCTTTCTCTCCCTGTGGACAACTTTCTTCCCAGAGAGGCATGAAGTATTCTACTCCTGAACCTAGAGACATTATCTTCACACGACTTCCCAGAAAAGAAAATTGGCTTGGAAATTAATTTTTTAGATTTACTTACAAGCCATTTCAAATTGATGACTCGCAACAATCCTTCCTTGGTAAAGAATTACATTCAGTTTTGTGAGATCATCCAAGTCCAAGGAATAAAATCTGTTTGAAGAAACCACATTTGTCCTCCAGGGCAGCAGGGCAAAGCTGTGTAATGGCTTCCGCATTGAGATTTGAGGTCTATGACATTTGAGAAACTTTGAGTTGTGAAATCACAAAGCTGCTATGCAACTTGACTTTCTTGTAGGATTCTTAAGAGGGATTCCTAAGGAACAATCACAGCTGTAACTATGATCCCAAACCTAGTGCTTGCATAGCTCTTAGAGTCTAGGAATACACATGAAAGAATGAGCACCCTGAATACAGGCCTAGAGGGCGTCATGTGATATGAGGATGAACTTGGAAATGACCTCAAAAATAAACAACAACAAAAAAGGTCCAGAATTTGCATACATTTTCAGTGTCAAGCACCTATGAAATAAGGAATTTATATGAGTGTGCATTACTGGAGCTTGAACCCAGGGACTTGATGCTGAGTTACATCTTCAATCTATTTATTATTTATTTATTTATTTATTATTTTCGAGACAGGATTTCACTAAGTCACTGAGTTACTCAGGCTAAGCTCAAAATGTGATCCTCCTGCCTCAGCATCCCAACAGTGCTGGGATTACAGGTGTGCCCCACCTCACTCAGCTAGTAATAAAACATTTAATTCAGGATTATCACCACAAGTCTCATTATCATACCTGATTCCCTTTTATATTAGACTTCCAATAGTCATGCCTAACTTTGCTACCCCAACTGCTATGCACACTTCTCTGTCTAGGGTGTGAGTGGCTTTTCTCCTTACTCTAAAAGAACAGTGGAATTGCATGAAGCTGCTTCCAAGAGCAGCCCACACATATTCACACCCTAAAACTTTCTATATGACCAGATCTACGTGAAACTCAGAGGACTCAAGATGAGCTAAGCCACATAGAGCATTTTAAGCTTTAGCCACTGAAACAAAGCAGCATAGGGCAGACGTTATTCTAAAGTGAAGATTCAGATAAACTGGATGCAAAGCTGCATCCAGTAAGGCATAGCTGAGGAGCCTGGCAATGACCTAGACACATTAAAAATATAATTTAACAAGTACAGAGTGGCTAAGGGTGTGCTCGAACCAATTCCTACCAGCTCAGAAAAGCAGCCTGAGAAATGTTCAGGGATTTTGCAAAAACTAGGAAGAATGCTAAAGACTGTTTAGAAGAGAATTCTAAAACTTAATAAAATGAAAAAAAAAAACATTGGAAAAAATACAACAAATTTTAGAAGACATAAAATGTCTTAGTCCAACAATTTTAAAAGTTGAATTAATATTTAAATCTATAGGCACATACACTACACCACACATACACACACACACACACACACACACACACACACACACACACAAAACCAGGATTATTTTTCCCCACAAAGTATAGTAAGCTAATTCTAAAATTCTTTCATAAAGGTCCAAATTAGGTCAGATACTCTTACAAGAAATATGTTACTGGTGTTTTATCAATGCATACTTTAAAGTACTAGTGATTAAAACAATATAGCATTGGTGTAGTGTAGAACAAAGGGACAAACAATTACTTTTATAAATTAGGAGAGAAAAGAGGGTCTATGTAATAAATGTTTCTGGAAGAATTATTGACCCATTTGGATAAAAACCAATATGCCCTTAAATAAAAACCAATTCAGTCCCTGACTCACACCATACATAAATATCAGACCAAGCAGATCAAAGACTGACATATACAGAGAAAAATATAAAGTGTTTAGAAGAAAACATAAGAAAGTACTTTCAGGGCCTCAAGATAAAAATTGTAAAAGAATTAAAGTACAAATTCTAATCTAAAATAGAACATTATACAGTAATGAAAATTAATTATAGTTATACCCAAGAACATGGCTAATTCTTAGAAATGATAAGTTAATGCAAAATGGCACGTAGCAAAAGATTACTTGAAATATGATAAAAATTGAAAATAAAAGAAATGATAAACATGAAATTCATGTTAATGTTCACTTTGAACATAGGAACATAAGAGGATTTAAGGGTCGGTCTTCTAAATAAATGCAACAAAATTGGTTATATTTTTTCTTTAGCCCACAGCTACTTATTATTTTGCTTAATATATTACATTTATGTTACATATATTATCTGTAAGTTGTGGATATGACACAACTTTTAGAATCAAAATCTTAAATTTAAAACAACCTCAACTCATATAAAGATCAATTATTTACAATTGGAACTCTTCAAAATCTAAGTGGGCATTTGTTGAACAGAAAAATGGGTGGGAAGTTCAATAGGTGATGACTTTCATGTCACTGGAATTATTCAAGAACAAGTGACAAATCTCTCTTACATTAATAGAAATATTTTAAAGTAAATTAAACAATTAATTATCTGATTGGATTAAGTCTTTTCTATGTCTGAAAGACTATGATTTCTGGATCAGTTTCTGAGTGAACTAAATTAACTGTTGATTTTCACTAAAACAGTTAACAAGGGACCAGGGATTTTACTCAGTGGCACTGCACCTGCCTCACAAGTGCAAGGTCTTGTGTTCAATCCTCTGTACCAAAAACAAAAAACAGTTAACGATAAGGAGTTCACACTGACACTGCCCTTATCTTCCAATCCCAGAATTAGAACAAATCAGTTGCTTGCAGAAAAAGCTAGGGAGCAGCTTTAGCCCCCAAATGACTCACTTCACTTTTCCTCCTAATTTAATTTGTTTATTGCACCTCATTTTTCTTTGGTGAGGCAGAGAACAGAGGAGGAGGGATGGGATAGATACATGTTTTAGCGTTTTCATAAGGTTCAATTTTGTGCTACTAATGATCTAAAACTGATATTGAAATGAATTTTAGCAAGTACTAAGTTCTAGGTATGATCTTAGAGAATTTTATACCTTTTAATCTTCATAGATTCTGGAGTTGAAAGTAGAAAACCCTTGTCTAATAAAAGTTACCAGCCATCCTCAGATCCCTTGCCATCAAGGAGCACAGGATGCCAAGGGTCAGGGCTGTCACCTACAGGAAGCACTTAAAAGTTAAAAGTGTAGATTTAATAAATTTATTTGTTCCAGCTGCCGGAAGGCAATCTTCAGACCCTAAAAATGAGAGAAGCCAGGAAATCACATGCATGAAGAGGGGACATGATAGCATTTACCAACTATCCACCAGAAATGTAGCCCATCCTTAGATGAACATGCTAAGTCAACCATTTCTCTGATAAGTCCATCAGAGGCATCTCTTACCTGCCTTGGGCTTGCCCTCTCACCTGCCTGTGCCTGAATGCTTTCATTGTTTGGTTGATTACAGTGAGAAAGAGGATCAGTGACTATAGTCCGGACAGTTTGGTTTTGCATCGGACTGGCATGAGGAAGAAGGTGTGACTGAGCCTGAAGAAGTTCCTTTTCTCTGTTGTCAAGACCTGGCTCAGTGATTCCTGCTGGAATGGTTGTGTCTTTCTGGGAGGAAATTCAATTATGTCACTCTGCTGAGAGCAGAATGGGGCAAGTGCGATGCTTGTGCAGAGAGCAATGAAACTATTCCAGAGATGCATCCAGATTCTATCTGCTGTCTTCCTTGAATCAGGGTGTAAGAAACCCAATTTGGAAGAATAAGGGAATAACCTATGTTACCACCCCACCCCCAAAACCGCTGCTAGCACACAGGGATTTTACTGGTCTGGAGATGACAGAAAACAGAAAAACCAAGGCATCCCTTGGTGGTCACGTGACCTTGCCAGTTCTCCAAACAGCCTCTTCTCCTAGAGGCACTGTGTGGAGCCTCTGGTGTCCAGAGGATTTTCACCGCTGGTACAGGAGGGAAGCAGGTGGATGGATAAGAAGCATGGCCTTGCTCCTGCTGACTCTGCTGGCGTTCCTGGGCTGGGGCTCTGGATGTCATCATCGGCTCTGCCACTGCTCTAACCGGGTCTTACTCTGCCAAGACAGCAAGGTGACCGAGATTCCCTCCGACCTCCCTCGGAATGCAGTTGAGCTGTGAGTATCGGAGCGTGTGGACAGCTGTGTGGCTGGCATTTGTGCATTGGGCACTTGTGTTATTTTCACATGCAGCTGATATCTATGGGACTGAAATAGTTCTGCCTGGACAACCCTCCGCCTACCCTACACTCCTCCCTGCCGCTTCCCAGGGATCTGAGTGACATGTTTGAACTAGCATTTCTCAGGGAAGGCCAGTGGGGAAAGCCGGATCAAAGACAAAGAGAAGGGTTGTCTTTTGGATACTTTTACTCTGGGGTTCTTACACTGTGTTTAGTGGAGCCAGGAAAGCAAAAGCGAAAGCAAAGTAGAAAACTTGGGAGCCCTCCAACTAGAAGCAGAAAGATGGGCTGATGTGAGCGGAATACACAAGGTGTGTCTCCTGAGGACACCAAAGTCAAGAATGGCAGAGTCTCTGGGTCTTTGAAGGCAGGAGCAATTTGCTCTTGAGCTGATATTTTGCTTCCTGGTGGGGAAAGGGGAAGGACTATGAAGAAGGGAAGAGAAAAAGGAAGGAAGCAGAGAGGGAGGGAGAAAGGTACCGTTGTCTCTCTGCCACTTCAGATTTTTACTGAACTGTTTTAGCAGGAAGTGAGCAGTGTCCTGTAGTCAGGCAGAAACTTAAACATCATTTCTCTCTACCTTTTCATTCCACACTAGCCTGTCTGCTGTCTGAAATCTCTTCATCACAAAAGGCTTTTCATTCTAAAAGAGAAAAAAGAAAAGAAAAGAAAGGGAGGACAGAGAGAAGAAAGGAGGAAAGAAAACATGAAGGGAGGGAGGGAGAGAAGAAATCAGAAAGATGCCCTCCTCCGCATGCTCCTTGGTAGCGCTCAAGTTGGATCAGCCTAAACCTTGCCTTGGCAGTCCTTTTGGCAAGGTCTTTTGAGAGAAAGAAGAACAAAGTTTCACTGGCTGTTAGATAAAATAGAGAAATTATTTGAGGGCTGTTTTTAGTGTGTTAATCACTGAAGAGCAGATAAAATGTCTGGTGAACTGGAACCCTGACATTCTTGTTTGTAGAAAAGAACAATTGCTTTATTTTTTTTTACTTAAGAGGATTGGATCAGGGTTTTATGGCACATTGATGGAAGGGAGATGAAACGGCCTATTCAACTAAGTATTTCTAATTCCTCTTGCAGTCTTCCAAGTTTGAGTAATAGCTTCAGTGATGACATCAGTTGTAGGTAAATGCAATAGCTGAGCTTCCTGACTGCAATCGTTTATCCATCAACATGAAGACACTTTCTTGTTACTCAGCCTCACCTGGAAGAAAACAACCCCGACAGTTCACCATGTACATTTCTATCCTAGTTTACTGCCCACCTTGTAGCAGTTTCATTTTATTTTATGTATCACCTGGCTATAACCGAAGATACCCTATAACTTATGATACGCCCATGCTGATAGAAACTCCAAAAGAACACAGACCCACCACCAATAGACGGATAGATTCCATTTGCCACTTGGCTCCTACTGTTTACTTTGTCCTTTATGCCTACTGCTTCAATAAAATGTCACAATGGAACTCCGAGTTTAGTATTATTGCTCTGTTTTTCAAATTAGACAAGTCATGGACAACTTGAATAACTTGGGCAGTCATCCCTGCAGCTCCTAGACAGCACAGCTGAGAAACAAACTACATCTGTTTGTAACCCTTTTGCATGGATACATTGTGTGTCTTTTGACTCCTTTTCTTTGGAAGAGATAAAACATGTCCTGGCAGGTTTGGTACAGAAGTCAGACTTATGGGTCAAATAGTGTCTTTTACAACCTCTTGGTTCTACTGTGGGAGCATGAAAGCAGCCTAGAGGCTGCGCAGATGAATGGGCGTGAATGTACTCATTCCAGCATGATGCTAATAGCTTACCTAGGGTTTAGGCAGCCGGAGGCAACATGGCACCTATTTTAGAGAGACCCTAAACTAGGTTAATAAGATCAACGGTTTGGGAAATGTGGATGTAGTGGTCCCAGTTCATCTTCTAGCTGGTTCTGAGAAGCCATAGACTGTATAGTGTCTAGAATCAGAGAAATACTAGTTGAGACCCAGGTGGTGCCATTACACATTTACTCTATCATCTGGGCTCTTGGCTGTGTAAGGGAAATCACAGTGTGTGTCTACCTCACAGAATTGCTGTGGCTGATGTAGATTTAAAAAAAAAAATCTTACAGCGTCTCCCACATTGTTGGTGTTGTTATCGCTGATGAGGGTGACAATGACGTTTTGTGGTGGTAATGATGATGTCCTCCTCTGTATAGTACTAACTAGGCACAACCCACTTTCCACAGAGTACCAAATCACTCAACAAATATGAGAATGATTTGGAAAAATTGATAGGAAGATTTTATAACTCTGAGATAGTTTGCAACCTCCCTCTTGTTTAAGAATAATCTTTTCCCAGGGTTATCTCCTCCTTGCTTAACCTCCAGGCACTTTCCGTCTGAGTAAGGGAATATTTTTTCCTACAGCTGTTGGAATTTGCCACAAACTCAAGGGAGTAGGTCTGTTCTGACTGTCAAGGAAGGAATTCTGATTTCTGACTTATACCAGAAAGTGCTTCCATGGGAGGCAGTCAGTGAGCCAAGGACGGTTCTTTTGATCTTACTTTCTTCTTTCTACAGTTATAATTCCTAAAAATAATGCATACACACATTCTTAACCTGAAAATGTAAATCTAAGCCATATGAATACAGCCGTCATTTTTCTTTTTCTTCATCAGTATCAAATACTGAAGGAGAGAAGTTTCCACGGATGGTATTTCTCGGCTTAGGGAGCCCAGTACTGGCTTTGTGATGTAGCCTGCCTGTGTTGAACCCTTAGCTCTCAGCGAGCTTCCATCATCCCCTTGCAATCTCATTTGACTTACACATACTTCAAGTTATCTAATTGTCCTTAATCCTTTTTATCTTCTTTGTTTGCCTTATATTCCTTGTCTTGTTGTCACGGCTTAGATCATTTCCCATGTTTCATAACCACAGATCATGATTTGATCTCTTTGAAAGCATTCCTAGGTTAGTCTTTTCTTAGTAGGGACTCAGTTCTGAAGGATGTATCTGTGTTTTGTACTAAAAGGAAAGCCAGTAAGTTGTGTGGTTTCCAAATGAAACAGGGTTTTTGATGTTTGCAAATTGCTTGATTGTGCTTAATTGTGCAATCTTTTTCCTAAAAGCATCTGTAGATACTAATATTCCACAGAACACATTTTTTAAAAGTCTGGTCTATCCAACTTCAGCTACCAGAAAGAATCTGCTGTATGATGTGAACAACCAGATCTTCTGACCCCCAATTCAGTGCTTGACAACAGCTACAGATACACCCTTGTGAGGATTTGTATCGTTTTGCGCCTAAGAAGGAGCTATGTAAAACTGTGCCATAGTCTCATAAAGAAGGTGATTCTATGAATAAAGAAAGTGTGGTTGATTATACACAGTGGAGTATTATTCAAGCATAAAGAAGTACAAATTTATGCCTTTGCAGGAAAATGGATGGAAGTAGGGTCATCATATTAAGCAAATAAGTTAGAAAGGCAAGTATCGCATTTTCTCTCATGTGTGGAATATACGCAGGAAAAGGTAACAGAGTAGAAGGGGGACTATTATGGAAGGAGAAGAGAACAAAAGGAAAGGGGGTACTAGGGATAGCATATATAATCGAAGCACATTTTATAAATGGATGAAGATGTCATAATGACACCCATCATTTTATAAAATTAACATGCACTAATAATTATAACAAAGGGGCTCGAAGACAAAGTGGTTCTTAAGTACAGACTGTAGCCATGAGGGAAGTACTTACTGTTACATGCTACTGTCTTATAGGTTTCAATTTTTCCCAATCACTCACATCTAATCAGTTTATGAATGCCCTTCCTGTTGCTAATAACAACAATTCTCCCTCTTCCTTGCCATCACTGTTGCCTGGGCCCTGACCACCTAAAGTCTGGATTTTATAATTACTTTCTAATTTACTCTTTCCTCATAATCTCTCTTTTCTCCAAGCCACCCCGCACATCATCATTCCATTTGCTTCATAACTAGGGTTTCCCAGTTCAAACTCATTTGATAGCTCAGTAGCTCACCTTTCATTCTCCAACAGGAGCCCACCCCACAAGGCCAATAAGGGCTTCTCTCCAGCACAGAGTGTGTGTGTCCAATTCTCAGTCTTCAAATCATACATCTTGCTTGTGCTTGACCTTCACTTCTTGCAATGCATCGTACTTAACATAATTTACTCAGAGCTCATCTCCTATATGAAGTCATCCTTTACAACTCTATCTTTACTTAATCTTGTCTTCCTCTGAACCCTGATTCAATTCATTTCACACTTAATCTTGTTTTCCTTTTAATTTTTCATGTGTGTCTTATTTCTTCAATTGCAGTGAAAATTTCCTTTGTGCTACTATTGTGGATGGTTCAAGGCAATGTATGTTCGGTACCCTCAATTACGTGTAGAACAAATGATTTAATAAATCAGCGGGAATTACATCTGTTTATTTCCTCTGCTCCTCACAATATTGAAAAAAAGATTTCTATAAAAGATGACTATTGCTCTCTCTTGCAGTGAGCTACTATAGGATTTGATAGTTTTCTTGTTTTCCTTGCTTTCTTATGTGTTTGTTTTAAGAAAGTGCCTGTATGTCATTCCAAAATCCATTAATTTATTCAAAAAGAGAGAAATAAGTCTCCGAAGTTAAAAGTTGAATAGTCTATAATCTAGGTTCACCACTCAATTCTCTTGATTTCAGTAATAATGTCTTCCAATCTACACGTAGCAGGGATATTGCAAAGAGAAATGAAATCCAACAAAATCACCATAAACCAGACAAAAACTTCTGGAAAATGTTGTTTTTACCAATTAGCAGCAGATCTTACACCTTGACTGTTAGGCTTCCTATGTTCCGTGAGTGTGGTAGTTCTGTGTGATTATCACAACCACACATTCAGCTGTGCAGATTGTCCTGGGTGACCAAGTCCAGATCTGCCTTCTGTTTTGCTTAAAT